AGGTGATGGTGACAGATTTGCTTACAGAGGAGGAAGCAAGGAAGCTGGATGGAGAAGAAGGCTTGAATGTTGTCCTGATAGAACCTTGTCTGGAGAAATCTAGAATCCACTTGACCAAGTGGAGTATGGGAAATTCCAAAGTGTTTGTGTTCAATGAGCAGTGGAATTCAGTGGTGGAGGGAAACAAGACACTGATGAAGAAGAATGCAGTAATGCAGATTTGCTAGTTCCGGACTGTACCTGAATCAAAGCTCTGTTTTGCAATGGTTAAAGTTAGAGATGGAGATGATGGTTAAGACCAGGTAATCTATGCTATGCAGTTGCACATATTGACCAAAAAGTTTTAGTAGGAGTAATTTTTTAGGCAAATTGTACAAAATAGCCCCTCTACTCCACACTAGGTAGACCATTAGCCCTAAACTTTTTTTACTGGCAAATAACCCCCTTTAGTTGTCAATTTTGTCAAATTGACCCTAATTTCACAGTGTATCATTTGATGTTATCAATCCATCACATGTCTATTTAATCTTCTTGACCATTAGCGTTTCCATCTATCTTAGCTTTTTCCTCTTTCACTTGAATTTCTTTTTACCTTCCCCTCTCTTTGCATTACCCATGAACATTGAATATTGTTTGATAAAAATAACCTTCTAAATTTAAGATGCCAATTAGGATTCTCCACTATTAGGTTTGCAATGCAAGATTTGCCATGAGGATACTCTGTTAGGGGTAGATGGAGCTGCTAATAGTTAAGAAGACTAAACAGACATGTAATGGATTGATGACATTGAATGATATCATATTTATGCAACAAGGGCCAATTTAACCAGATCTACAAGTAAAGGGGGTTATTTGCTAGTGAAAAAAGTTGAGGGGATGATTGTCAACTTGAAGTAGATTGTAGAGGAGATGATTTACATAATTGGTCAATTTTTTATTAGAATTCATTTATGCTAATTGTAATTTTAATTGATATTAATGTCCAAATCAAAAAGAAATTAAATTAGGCCAATTAAAGTTGAATGCTAAGTTCATAAGAAACAAAAAAAAAAAAAATTGAAGGAGAGAATAATTAAGAAGGCCACATCGTTCGGCCCATATATGAGAGTCCATGTTCACCTAGAACTTGGAAAACCTACCCACCCGAGAGGTATTCAAACCCGAGCTTAACTCTTGCATCACCACCATTGCCAATAATCTCTCTTCCAAGCCTTTAATTTCCGATAATTCGGACATTCGGATTTGGAGTTTCTTGATATACTGATGGATCCATTAGATAACAACAATGGAGGAACCCATTCGGACAGCAAATCTGAGTCAGATTCTAAAGATCTTGCATTGGCGGATTCAGATTTTATCGATACTACTTTGGTACATAATAATGGTGAAGATGAAGCTGGTATACTTTGGGAAATCAACTTGCAGTCGGAAGAACTACTAAACAATGCTGATACAATGCCTGCACGGTAACCGACGCCCTCGAATAATATTTTAATTAAGGATACTGATGGATACATTTTAATTAAAAAACATTATATGTTAACTCATTATACCATATATTTATTAAAAATTTATTATTTTAATTTAAAATTAAAAATAAACAAATTTTAAAATATAATAATACAACAAAT